GAGAAACAGTTTTATACATAGAGATATGTAAAACAAAAGATTCGGTGTATTTTAATGTTGCAAGTTTAATTGCCCGAAATTATTTGTAATATGCACAAAATTAATTGAGAACAAAGTAATTACATTAGAATTTTAGAAACAAAAATTTCAGACATCAGTTGTCTTACTAAGATAATACTTGAACATTTTAGACTAGCATTCCTTTCAATTTATTATTTAGTAAATTAATAATAAAACACAAGCAGTGCGTCTCCTTTTGCTGCTTTGTATATTACATATATAGAAGAAATTACCCGTCCTCGCAGGGATCAAATGAATAATGTTGAAAATCCATTTGTAGCGATATGATATTTGTAATTCGTGCCAACTTCAATAATATAAAAAGCCACCACGTGTCTACACATTCACAATAGGATTTCATAATTTATTTCGTTGTTTATTGCCTGATCTTAATGAAATAAATATTGTATGACATCCAAATGAGATCCAAAATACAACAGTTCAAAACTAGACCTCTAAAAGAGATTACTCAATATACAGGATTTTTCATTGAGGCCGATGCAATGTCCTGTTGCAGCAGTAAAAATAAGAATTCCAACTTAGGCTTTAGGCTAAGATTATCTACTCATAGGAAAAGAAGACTCCGAGCAAAATAATCTGTAATGCTTGTTGTAATCATCACAGAGGACTCAGAACGGTTCAACAGTTTAAGAGATGACGTTGAATAATAACATGTTAGTCCAGTAGAAGACAAATTTATTGGCTATACAACACAGGGAAGTCGATTTCACTCAAATTTAACTAATGAATAAAGAGGGAAGATTGATCATCAAACGTCTGCTAAGGGTATAACGGCAACCACACACCAGGATACAAGTTTAATCCACGAAGGGCAAACAGCAAGAATTTTTATAGTACAAATTCGATTCTGCCTTAGTGAATAGAATATTGTGGCGACCAGACACATGAGACATACTCAAGAATAGATCGTACCAGAGATATCAGAAGGGTCTTTGTCGTGTACGGATCGTCAAACTGCTTAGACCATCGGTTGAAACCTAAAACAATTCTGGTATTATTGGCCACGGTCGTAACATTATCAGGATCATTACCCTCATTACCAGTACTGTACTCGAGACAATATCGAGGGAAGGTCATTGATTAATAGATTAAAAGAGTAGCGGGCCAAGGTGAAGGCCCTTAGGGGACGGCAGAAGTCATAGGAAAAAATTTAGGAATTTCTGAAAAGAACCTTTGGAGTTCTGTTTCTCGAAAGCCCACTCACCTTCAGGGCGACGCTGTCGCCTCCCCTCAGGCCCTCCGCCTGATAGCTCAATTGCACTAAATATGTAGACCACACCCAAAGCAAAATTCTAAACTAATCACTAACTGAAGAAACACAAATGGCGTATAAGGCAACAACATCCTTAAGGCCGTTTAATAAATAAAATGTAAAAACAAAAAAAAAAGGAATTTTGCTATCCGTCTTCTTAGGGGCTCGAAACCGAAGCATTTTCCTCAGGCTGAGTCAATCCATTGCTGTTGACAAACCCATGAAAAAAATAAATAATTTAATTATGTGTGTTATTAAAATAAAATGACAAACAAATAAATCCGACGCTCAGGCACAATAATATGACAATCTCACTAGGTCCTTGGCTATTTGTAAGATTTTCGGATGAATTGATATGGCGGTTAGACTGTTTTTAGCTGTTACTAGACTGTGGACGAGTATTACGTAGTCGGTTGTACGAAAGTAGATTCTTACTCATTTATTAATTACCATTAACACCATCAACCCATTTTTTATGTACAAAATGTTAATTATTTGAAATGGAAGGGGTTTTCTTTGAAGAAGTTGAAATTTGGGAATATGGCTACTCCTAGAGAGTGTCGGGCAAGGCAATTTACGGATATCAGCCCCGGACGTGCAGCTTAAATATTTAATGATTACTAAATCAGGCAAGCAAGCAGTCTGATTCGTATGTCGCAAGGACTGACTGTGCAGCATAGTGCGATTCGCTAAGTGTCAGACACCCTGGAGGGTTGGGGAGGCCCAATGTGTGCGTATGCGTAAATTCGACGAACGCCCACACACATGCACCCTGCGGCATTCGTACATGGAATAATATGCTTCTCCAGAAGACCGCAAACGTTGCACAACTGATTTGCATAAACTATAAGTGTTTAAAAGTAGCCTATGCTATGTGTAAGCTGCAGGGCTTTCAACTAATTGCCTATCTATAATAAGTAATACAAACAAATTTATCACGATAAACACATTGTACCCGTCCTAGATAGATTGATAAATTGAACTTCAACAATGGTCGGAATTCTATCCCAAAGTAGGATTAAACAAAGCCATAGTCGATAACTAATCTAGGTTAATAACAATTCATTAAAGGACCTACTTTTTATTATACCCTGAATCCATTAAAAATGGGTAAACAGGGTATATTGTATTTGTGCAAATGAATGTAACAGGTAGAAGGAAGCATCTCCGACCCCAGTATGTATATATATCTTGATCAGCATCAATAGCCGAGTCGATCTAGCCATGTCCGTCTGTCTGTCCGTCCGTATGTATGAACGCAAGGATCTCAGAACCTATAAGAACTAGAGACTTGTAATTTTAGCTATAGGTCCTCCTAGTCCCCGCGCAGATCGAGTTTGTTTCCGATATTCGATAACTTACCCCGTTTCCAAGTAATCGATAAAAATCGAGACCGAAATCCTGTTTTTTGAGCAATTTCGGCAAATAATATGAGCTAGAGTCACCAAACTTGACATGTAGCTTCTAGAATAGTATATATATATCAATTATCTTTTATTTTATACCCATCGCCACCTCCCCGCTACCACCTAAAAGCTATAAATCAAGTTAATTATCCAACTTGTATTGCCCATCAATTTAAGCCACAATTTATATGCAATTAAATTTTTGAGAATACACAATCATTCTTTTTTCTGTTCTACAATAAGATGTACTGTCGAAAATTTCATTAAGATCGGTTAAGAAACACAAAAGTTATGTGCGCACGTGTTAGCAGCATATTTGCTGCGCAAATTCCAAGAATTTTTGTATACATGGACACACACACACATTCATGCGCGTCTGCTTTGAATTCTATCAACAGCATTGCAATTGCGATTGTATTGTTTTCTTTGCTGATATTTTAATTCGTTTGTTTTTTCTCATTAAAACCCAATTAATGGTGTGGCTCTTGCGAGTTCGAACGCTGCCAAGGGAACTGTTTTTTTTTTTTTCATTTTTCTTTATTACTACTAAAGCAAACGAGCGCGTAGCGCGATCTGCATTTGGTGTTGGAAGAAGATGGTTCAGGTTATCCCCTAGTCGGGAGCTCCCGACTAGAACCTCTTACTTGTTTCTTTATCAAAAGACGCTTCTTAAAATATGTACCTCAAAAATTAAATGAAATCTGGCTCAATTTTTTAAGGTGTGAGATGTGATGTTCCCTTTTAAATGCAACTATAGTTGTAAAGAAAATACACTGTACTATATTATTGTCATTATTATATTACTAGCGGATACAACCCGACCTTGCCCGTGGCACGTATGTTATAAAACAAATGTTCTCAAAAAGCTTTGAAAATGATTTTGATCGGACGGTTAACAAACAACTTTCATACAAAGGTTTTCCGCCAATTTACCATTGTTACGGGTGGAATTTCCCAAATCGCTGAAACCGGTATTCCTTATATTCTTAAAAATAAGTTAAAAATAAGTTTCAAGCAAATCGAGAAAAAATAAAGCTTCACCCAAAAAATTTTTTAATCGCATTTCTACCGAAGAAGTTTGAATTCTGCGAAAAGTGAGAAACACGTCTCAAATAAATTTTCATATACATATATCTTTGGAAATGAATTTGAACGCGAAACGTCACCCACCAATTTCCTCAATTTCCACCAAGGAGGAACGGATTTTTGAAAAGGTTGAAACACCCCTAAATTGATTTAAACAAAGATCTTTGAAAATAAGTTTGAGGCCGATCGGATGGTAAACAAAAAAGTTACATACAAACGTTTTCTGTCAATTTACCAATGTTACGGGTGGAATTTCCCAAATCGCTGAAACCCGTATTCATTATATTCTTATAAAGAGCTTTCAAAATAAGTTTCAAGCAAATCGGGAAAAAAAAAAACTTCGCCCAAAAAATCTTTAAGTCGCATTCCCCCGAAGAAGTTTGAATTCTGCGAAAAGTGTGAAATACGTCTCAAATAATTTTTCTTATAGACCTCTGGAAATGGATTTGAGTGCGAAACTTCCCCCACCAAATCTTTGACCTACATTTCCACCAAGGAGGAATGGATTTTCCTAAAAGTGTGAAACACCCCTCAAATGAATTTGAACAAAGATCTTTGAAAATAAGTTTGAGGCCGATTGGATGGTAAACCAAAAAAGTTACATACAAACGTTTTTCGCGATTTTTCCACACTTGCGAGTGGAATTTCCCGAAACCCCGTCTTAACGTGCACCTACATCACATAAGGTAACTACAGTGAAAATTTCAGCTTCCCAGCTGTTACGGTTTGGGCCGGCGTTGATCACCAATCAGTCAGTCAGTCAGTCAGTCAGTACAAACAGTTTTATATATAGAGATAAAATGTTCAGGGCATATGCGTATATATCATCCAAATGCGTTTAAATATACCCCCTTCGATTAAAATCGATTTGGTAATTCTGTTTTCTGGTATTTGTGCATACATCATATCATTAAGGAGCTAGTCAACAAATGTATGTATCTTCTAGACAAAGTATATTTCATTTTTTGGATAGCGTTACCCCATCCAATTCCAATAGCTTAATGTGATGATTCGTTTCGCACAGTTTATCCTGAGATAGGCTTTGGAAGTGCGTATCGTTGAAAAAATGCATAGCAATTTAGATATATATGTTGAGAAACCAGTAAATGTTATACATACCGTGTACAATTTACTCTGTGTATAATTTAGTATTAGCCAGTGATAATTCTACTTACCACACAGAACTTTTCACTCTTCTTGGGGCATTCCTTGAGATAGAGATGCGCAATCTCCTTGGAATAGTTCGTGCAGGGAGTTATCGAGCCCACGCCCTCGTTGTACTGACCGCACATGTGGCACTTGAGGCCTTCGACATTCCCAAGGCTGATGCTGCAAAACAAAATGGCGCCCAACAGCAGCACCGCCCATGGAGGTCCAGAAACTGCCGAAACAGCTGCCCGACCGGCCTTGGAGTACTCTTTGGATGACACGACCTTCTCCGTTGGCATTGCTTTTCAGTTAGCGTGCAAAATGTTCGTATGATACCTAACCTTTGACGCGGCCAGCAGATGAACACAGCAAACACTTCCACTCACATATATTGCAAATGTGCTATTTACGCTCACTTGATTGCTTTTTATTTACTTTTATTTCCTTTAGTCGTTCTTTTCGGGTTCTTTTCGTTCTTAGCTTTTATCTGGTCTTTAGTTATTTTTTGCGGTTATTTAATTTTAATTTGTTATCTTATATTTATTTTTTTTTCTTTATGTTTTTGTTGTTTCTGGCAGATGATTCTAGAGGTCAAAATGTTTGTTAACCTTTATGTAAAAAGGATCAAAAAGGTATTGTATTAATAGCAAATATTAATTACACAAATCAACCTAATTACATCGTAGACATTAATTTTAAATTTTTATCCTATAGATTTGTAACTAGTGTACTGTAATTATTGCAAAAAATATTTTAATAAATATTTTACAAATAAATATTGGCTTACATAATACCATATTAAAGCGCTTGTCTAAAATTCGAAATCTTTTCTTCCAATTGTTTCGTATAAATGGAAAATAATGGAAATAACATTTCTAGATAGTGTATAAAGTTCATAGACCCATATATTTTTCATTGCACCTCCTTTGACATGCTCTAAGGTCACAAATGTTCTATGAAACAAACAAAGTATATAAACACCTTATAAAGGTGCTTATATGCCAGCGTCTTTTATTCTGCAGTTCTATTAAATCGAAACGATTACGGTATCTGGGCTCGAAAACAACAAAGTCAAATAATTTAATCTATTAATGTACACCTAATTTCAATTTATATTATTAAATCAATGCTTAGTTCGTATTGGGCTGCTGGCAAAATGGAAAGCAGTTCGAAAAAGTTGAACACTTTAGGTCACATGCTACAATCTGCCAGATGCTGCGGCATTCGTGACCACGTCGCAAACATTTAGGCCGCGTTCAAAAAGAAATTTTCCAAAAAATTGTTTTCTAATCGCTTTTGCTTTTACTGAACGTTGTTTGAACTATTCTCTGCACACGTGTGATGGCCTTGAATATACTGCTTAAACACAGAGCTTTAAGTATTTACGCTAAATTGAGCTCGATTTGACAGAATTTTGTATACCGACTTTATGTGCGTTTTGTTGCATACTTTTAGGCCTTTCGTCAATTCGACTAATGCAAAAGTGGGCCAGTTGGTGTAATTTAGTGCTCCTCTTGCACAGAAGTGGCAACGCTTTCAATTGCAGCCAGTTAATTTGCTGAAGAATAGCGCTCCTACTGCTGCTACTCATACAGCCAATTGACAAATTATTTTTAATTAAACGGACTAGTACACGCCCTGCTTTTTAATGCCATGAAGGGCGACGGTTGGCCTTTCTTATTATAAGCACCACATTATCGACCACCAAAATAAGCGAAATCTTAAATAATTGATTTTGCTGCACTGTCTTTCACAGTCCTAAATCAAAGTTTGGTTAAGCAGTGTAAACACTTGCATGTGCCTCACTCAGCAAAGACACAGCTGAAACCTACTTTGAATATTTGTTAAAAGCTGCTTCGTCCGCTTAACACGTGCGTCGCGTTTGAACAGAATTCGTCGACTGCAGCAACAAAATGTTCGTCGAACATTCTGCGCATCGGACATTCGAGTAGTCGTGTAATTCGGCATAAGCTGTCTAATTCGGTTGTTTACTGGTTTGATGGTGCGATTATTTAGTGGTTCGGTTCGGAGTCTGAATATTTGGAGGCTAAAAATTATTTATCGTGCTAACTAAACCTGCGTTAAAACTACAAAACGTACCTCTCTACCTTTTACTTGATAAATGTTATAGGACCTACTACTATATGCTAATTCTTAGAATTAATAAAGGTAATTTTCTAAGATCAAAAACTAATTTTAAAACATTATGCATTTTTATAATTTGAAACCAACATTTTAATTGCTTAAGGATCGTTCCACTAAATTTGTCAGCTCCGCTAACAAAATTAGCTAACATTGTTTTTGCTTAGATCGAATGAGTAAAATAATCAAGAAATAAACCTTGCCTTGCCTTTAACGTTGTTTCTAACACTGCAAGCAGTATGCATATTGGGTACATGTACAAATGTTAAAGAGGTGTTAATTAACATACGAATTTTGGCTTCTTTCCAACATGTCGCATGCTGTTCGTCGAACATAGCTGACCATAAATTTCTGTTGGCATGGTTAATACAATTGCCATAAAAGCATATTTTCCGTTCACCATAGGGTGCCGGTCTTCGCTTACAGTTTGACGTCAATGGCGTTTGCGAGTAAGTTTCAAGCATTAGTAAGTTAGATTTTAAAGTCTACGGACTTCAAAAATTAAACATGTAAGCATCAAAATTTAATTTTATTTGAGGAATAATTGTTAAGACAAGGTTGCAATTAAAAAAAATATTTAAATATTTGTAGTTCGGTTCACAGTTTTAAAGAACGTTAAGGTTCGCTTTGTGAACATGGTTGTTCGTGTTCGTGCACCTAGGCATTGGTTTGGACCTTGGCTTTTCGAATTTTGTATTGAGAAAATTGCCAAATTTCGTTTTAAGCTTAACGACCATTAACATTTTTATTAAAAAGCGACCGTTTCGATTTTTCACTTCCCTAAATGGCGTACGCAAAAGATCACTATGTGAACAAGTGCTATGTACATGCTATCTAAACATGCACACCAAAAGTGTTAAATACAGAGAATTTTTTTCTGTTTAAGTTTGCCACGTGCACTACACACACTCTTGACATACATACGTAAGTGTGTACTTATATCGAAAAAACCAAACTGAGTGACTATTTAATAGTATTTTTAAAGATAATCTTTGCTTATACTATATATGTAGGAACATACATATGCCTTTATGAAGTGCGTATGACAGTATTTATACTTATATACATACTACATACTACTAAAAATTTTAGATATTTCCTTTCCACTAAGTACACGCCCGTGGAAAATTGAAATCTCCCCGTTCCATCTTGAACTCCACTTCTATTTTTATATATTTATTTTATCTATTATCTATTTTATATATTTAAAGTACATCGAATTAAGAACCAAATGTTGGAATTAGAGGTTTCCGCCCTTGTTAGACTTGTGGTAAGTGTCTTGAGGCCGAATAAAAAACTTGCGTTTGCAGACCCCCATTTTCGATCCAATAGCGGTGAACTTTGCGAAGGCGTGTCAAATAAGTTCTGAAAAAGGTCTTTGACAATGAGTTTGAAACCGATAATAATTCAAAAAGTTAAGTTAATTTTTTTCACCGGATTTCCACCAATACGGATGGAATTTTCTAAATCGCGAAAACACGTATTCATTAAGTTTACATGTAGAGCTTTCAAAATAAGTTTGATGCAAACCGTGCAAAACTTAAAGCTTTACCAAAAAATCTTTTAATTGCACTTTTTACCGAGGTAGAGAAATGATTTTTCCTTGGAAATTAATTGGAGCACGAGACGTCACCCACCCATCAAATCTTTGACCTCCATTTCCACCAAGGAGGAATGGATTTGATTGAATTTAAACAAAGATCTTTAAAAATAAGCTTGAGGCCGATCGTATGGTAAATTAAAAAGTTTCATACGAACGTTTTTCGCGAATTTTCGGAATTTCCCGAAACCCCGTCTTAACGTGCACCTTCATCACATAAGGTAACTACTCTTACGGTATGGGCTGTGCGTTGATCACAGATCAGTTAGTCAGTTTGGACGCACAGTTTAATATTTACCAGCAACACTATAACTATGTGAGAATAGTGCAGCTCGAAAATGCCGAGTTTGTTGAAATACATATCTTAGTACTGTTCTACGAATGTTAATAATTTTTTTCGTAAATGAAGTGGGCATAGTAAAACCTTTAAATGCCAAGTTCTGTTAAGTATCTTCTGGTATGTATCTTGATACACAAAAAACTTATCCAGACAAGTACTTAATTTTCGACCGAAAATGGCAGCTATATAATATAACGTTCCAATGTATATAAGATTTTGTATATATGTAGGGAGCATAGTGTAACTTATTAGCGCCAAGTTTGGTCAATATATGTATTAAAAAAAAAAATGGTCCGTACAATAACTTAATTATCGACCGTTCGTTCCTATGTCAGCTATTGGAATATTGCCTTATATCGCCCACAATTAAATAATAAGTCTTTTCGGTTTTAGATTCATTAGATTTTAGATTTTAGATTTTAGATTTTATACTTGTTTTATATTTATTACTACAATAGAAGTACCAAGGCTAAAGTGTCAAAATGACATTTTAACCTTGTCCCTTCTCTTTGCTCTATAAAACTACTTGGTCACTGTAGCTTTTGTATGAATGAGTGTTTATGAGTGTATATTTCAGTGCTGTTAAATCAGTGTAACTCATTATTTACAACACAGTGCTCTAAAACCAATTTCACTCATTATTTCAACAGCAGCTATATAGATTTGGTCCAATGTTAATAGGATTTTGTTTATATATGAAGAGCAAAGTGAAAATAATAAATTCTTGACTAATCGAGTATTTCATACAAGAGCCTACCTTTCCACCGATTGTTCCTATGACAGCTATATGATATAGTAGCCCGATCCAGCCGGTTCCTACATATGTACTAAGTGCAAAATTACATAACTATATCGACTCGACTGTTGATACTGACCAAGAATATATATAATTTATGAGGTCGGAGATCACTCCTTCTATGCGTTACACATTTTGAGACCCTTTGCAAGGGTATAAAATCACAGTTACGAACGCCGGGGTATATTGCAACAAATCTGATCTGTTCGTACCACACAAAGAAAAGAAGCATCGATTACATCAACTGACGTTTCGCACAAATTCACATTTAGTTGATTTTTAAAAAAATACCCAATAAAGTAAATATACCAAATCTGTGTATACTATACGAAAAGACAAGTATCAAATTTGGTGACTAGCTCAGCTTAGAAATATTTGCAAAAATCCGTATTTCGATATCGAATTTTATCGATTGCTTGAAAACGGGGCGAGCTATCGATGAGCACACACATGTGTGTGTCTGTGTGTAGAGGTCGAAAATCAGAAATCCCAAAATCTTGTTAAATTTGCATCGGACAGGCAGCCAGGCACCAACAGGCTCACAAGCGCATAAATTCATAATACTCGTCCTTCAAAAGGGAAGGTATTTGAGAAAAATTAAATTTGTGGGCATTTTTGCTTGTGCGGCTACATGCCCACACAAACATTTAAACGGTACATAGACAAATTGAAAGAGCACTGAGAGTGGGTGCGAGATAAAAAGATAAAAATACAGCCATGCCATTCTAATACACAAATCTATTGTACTTCTTACTCTCTTGCTGTAGGAGCATGCGGGCATGTCTCGAACCCGAACAAAAACGAAGGCGACTTTGGACTAGCCGCACTGAAAACGCTTGTCCCCAGCATTTGTACTGGTTGTCCTAGATGTTTCCCTCTATTATACTCTTTTACCACTAACCATACAATATATATGTACATATAGGAATAATGGGTCGCAAATTCAGCTCTTGTGTGAGCAAAATTATTGTTTTTCAAAATATATTGACAAGTTTCGGCATTTGGCCTATGTTTTACTGTGCTATTTACGAGATTTTCGTATATTTTTTTTGTAGGCTAGTATATTTCATTTTCGGCATGCCAGAAGTTAAAAGTAAATTCCAATTGCATTTTTTTTTTATCGAAGATTAAGTACAAAATCGTCCATTAAGTGTAGGGATCATTTTTCTCAGTGCGGTTGGAACGAACGATTAAAGATGACTTCAAAGTTTAAGGTTTTTAACACTTTGATTTATTAAGCACTACAGCCATCGATAAGCACATGGCGATAGCGACTTTTAACTACGGGATTAGCACACGAGGCGAGGGTACAAAGAGGAAGACTGATAAATGATTTGCGAGGCTCATTGGGTTTTTATTTGAGAGCCTAAGCCAATATTATTTGGCTCTTTTGGATCCAATCGACATAGTTGGCGACCTTGCAGTAAACACCAGGATAAGGTGCCACTGTGCAAGGCTTGATACTCCAGGATACAATTCCCACCTGCTGGCCGTCGTACAAAAGGGGGCCGCCAGAATCGCCACTGCATTGTCCCTTTCCACCCTCATCGACGCCACCGCAAATGTGGTAGCGGGGATCTGTGGATCCTTGGTGACGCGCCACGCACTCCTCGTCAGAATATACTTTCAGCTGCACCTGCTGCAAGGTAGTCTGTATACTTCCGCCAGTCTAGACGATAAGACAAAATGTTTGTTCACCTTTTTGACTACTGGAATTCGAAAAATAAAAAACTCCTACCGCATTCAGGCCCCAACCAACAAGTGTCCCCTCACCGCCGGACTCCAACTGGGGCGTAGCAAAGTTAAGCGCTGGCAGCTGCACAGGGGCAACGGTCTTGTAGTCAAACTTAAAAGGTTCCGCCACCTGGAGCAGGGAAATATCATTGGCATAGTTGTTGCTTGGGTTGTAAAGCTCGTGCTGAATGATCCGCTTGACAGCCACCACGTTGGGTCCGCTTGCGCCGATATTGGTCACACCGTACTGTACTGAGATTTGCCCGGCGTTGCGTCCATCGGTGCAATGTGCCGCTGTCAGCACAAATTGATTGGAAACTATGGAGCCGCCGCAGGAATGAGAACCACTGGCACCGCGCAACGAAATCTGGGCAGCCAGCACATTATAATCGTATATGATATAAATGTATACACTTATCAGTCGTCGAGCTCACCACAAACGGATATTTCTCCACCGTGGCATCCGTGCCATTGACCACCCGACCCATCGGAGGAGCAGCGTAGACGCTGGCATTAACGATTGCCAGCAACAGGAGTGCGAATATGTTTAGTCTCGACGAAAGCATATTGTTGAGTAAACGGTATCTCGAGTAGACTCCAGTTGCACGGCGCTTCGAGTAGCGCCTTTTATAGGCACGACCCATTTGAGTTGGCACTGGCGATAGGCCGAATATTTATGGCCAGCGATAGGTGGGTAATAAATATAAAAGAGCCAGATTCACCTGGCCTCTCAGACTGGGTTTTATTCCAAGATTAGGATGCATATTGGGTTTTCTAAACGTTTCATTCCCAATGTTTATAAAGTATATAGAAACTATCTTTGGCAAAAAAGATGACCTATCCACCACGTATCGAACAGCAGAGTCTCGTTGATTTTATTATATACTAGCAGGTATTCCCCTGCCTTGCCCGGGGCATATTTTGTGCTTCAAATTTTAGATATAAAATTTTCACCCATATCACGCCCATAGAGCATTTAAAACTTGATCTCTTGAAATCTAGTATGCCGAAACATAAACTTACGGTCGTTAAACCATTGACCATCTTTTTCCATCCAAAAGCAGTGGATTTTGCGACAAAGATCTTTCAAAATAAGTTTGAATCCGATTCGATGGTAAACAAAAAAGTTGCAATGCTTTCACCAATTTACCACAATTGCGGGTGGGAATCGCTTTAACACGCATTCATAAATTATGTAGCGCTTCGAAAATTAGTTTGATAAAAATCAGACAAGACTAAAAACTCCGAAAAAATCTTTAAATCGCATTTTACAACCTTCAAAAAGTTTGAAACATGTCTCTAAACATTTTCTATAAAGATAGTTGGAAATATGTTTTAACGCAAAACGTCACCCACCACACTTTTGACCCCCAATTATACAAAGGAGGAATGGAATTTCCGAAAAGAATGAAACCTTCCTCAAATAAATTCGAACAAAGATCTTCGAAAATGAGCTTCGGTAGTAAGCTAATAAGTTTCAAATAAACGTTTTTTTCTACCTCTTACAGTCTGGACTGGGCGTTAATCACCAAAATGTCAGACAGTCAGTCAGGACAAACAGTTCTATATATATATTCGCTATATACAGAATGAATCAAGTCAAAAATAAGTTTATCAATATTTGTGTAAATATTTAATGTAAATCTTTGACTAAACCATTTTTATTAAGGTAATCACAATGCAGAAAAACAAGTAAACGTGTGGCTTGATGTCCCAGAGAAAACTTGGCAATATTGCTGGAATGTGAAACGGTGCAGATAGTGCCTAAAATAATTTGATTTATACTATACATTCTAGTGACAAATAATTTATAATAACTCTAGTTATAAGCAGGGTACAACGTTCTTTTTCAGTTAACTAAAAAATTCATCCCTGCTTTTAACCATAGAATATAGTAAATATATATGAAGAACTAACAGATTTTAGCAAACGCTCTTTGTTTCGGAAAATGTAAGTCAAACAGAACCCATAACTGAAGCAACTATTATCTAGTCCAGATCTAGATACATTTGTAGCTATGCTCTATATAATACGTAATTAAACTACTTTACTAAGCGATCCTAGCATGAATCTACAAAAATACTCCAACATATGCGCACCAGCGCCATCAAATTTCTACTGTATACTGCAGCTGCGTACCGTGAACATCTTTTGTTCCTCTTCATCCAAGTTTTTGGCGCTCAAAATACTTTTAATGCTCTCGGCCTCTTTGATCCAGAACTCCAGCTGAAATGATAAGTACATTCTACATACGTTATACGTAAACAATCCTGCAACTCACTTGTTGCAGTAGCAGATTTCGTCGCTCGCCCCTTGGCTCGTTGTTCACAAATGGTACCAGAATGCCCAAAGCAGAGGTATACGACTCCAAGGCGGCGTTCAGCTTGCGCTCGTATAGATACAGCTCGCCCTGCCGCCCAATTTCCAGGCCTGTCTTCATAGCAGGACTCGAGCTCGATAGAGTAACTAAAAGACATTCAATATTAATATAAGATATTTACAATTTGTAAAGGTAGTTATTAAATAAACATAATCATACATGAATTATTTTGACCGATAATGAGCAACAATATATAAGCATAATGTAACAATAATATATATACTAAAATGAAGTCTCCGTATTAATTAAACATTAATGAAAGTCATCGACCTTTGCTGAAATAATTAAAAAGTGTAATCTCAAAATTATGTTAAATTATTAAAATATAAGCTTTAAAAAAAATATCTTATTATTTCCGCAATATTTGTTCTTCCTATTGCAGTTAAACTTCTTTAGTTTCGTAACAAAAAAAATCGAAAGCAAGCCATTCGCCAAAATGAACAAACTTAGAGAAAACTCGTCGAATGAACTGTGTAATAGACGCATGTGATTTTCAGGTTAACTGGAACCAGAATAAAATGAAATGTCATACAAAGCTGTTTATAGCGCGCATCCGGCTCAAGCATTTCCATCATCCGCGACGTGCTTGGCTGTGCTTGATTCGTGGGTTCAGTAGTTGTAGCAGGGGTGCCTTTTTCAGATCGTTGCGATACTGGTGTCTGCTGCCGTTGTGCCAGTAGCTTGTATTCATCCTCAATGATTACATTTTTAATCTCCTCCGCACGCTTCATGTAGGCTAAAGCCCGATTGCGTAGCTCCTGCCGCCGGCTGGCATCCGATTCTTCGGTGATGAGCGGCACAAAATATTGTAATGCGCTGCAGTACAAATAGTAAGCCTCCTTATAACTTCGTTTCTCATCATGCTCCACCGCCTGAGTCACCAAGTCAATGGCCTTTTTCAGCGTACGCTCCGAGGGAAAAGTTTTGAGATCTAAGAAGGGATGTGCAAAGAAATCCGCAAAGGAGATGCGCTGCGCAGGCTCATGAGCAAGAAGACGACGCAACAAATTGTGGCATTCATTGCTGATACGCGCATTTGGTGGTAGCACAATTGGCTCGGCCTTGCGAATGCGCAGTAACAGCTCCTCAATAGTGCGCGAGCTATAGGGTGCTTTTCCGAACAGGCATTCATATAGGATTACCCCGACGCTCCAGAGATCGGCCTTGGCATCGTACTGATGGTTTCGCACAATCTCCGGTGCCATGTAGAGCGGCGAGCCTTTAAGCTGCTGATTGATTTCACCTAGTTTTAGGTGTTGCGCAAATCTATAAAACGCAAACGATTAAAGGACCACAGTCGTCATTTATTCAAATACATACCCAAAATCCGCAACCTTTAGAGAGACATTATTAGCAATGCGTGTAAGGAGTAAATTCTGTGGTTTCAGATCAAAATGTGAAACGTCGTTGGCCCGCATATACTGAACCGCAGCAGCTAATTGGCGCAGAAAATATCGACATGTTGATTCTGGGAGCGCTTTCTTGGTGCGTATGAAGGCAGATAAATTGCCAGCATTACAATATTCCAGTACAATGTAAATGTTTCTTAAGTAGACGTAGAAGAGATACAATAATATTATTTGAAAAATAATGGTAGTTGTTTTCATTATCAAGTAGAATCTGTCAAATACGCTCATCATATTTTTTTGGAACTCACTTGTCATCCCAGAAAAAGTCCTGAAGCGTCACAATGTACTTGTGCTTCAGATCTCGCAGCAGGCGAATTTCCGTTATTAAATTGTCGCGTGAGCTCTGAGACAAAGAAGACATTTCCACGTATTTGATGGCATGATAAGTGCGTTCCTTCTATGAGAATATACGAGTGAATGTGTTTAGATAATTGAGTTCGTAGAATAATTGAATTGAAGGGCTCACTTTATGGCGTGCCTTGTAGACAGATGCATAGCTGCCCACTCCAAGCTTCTCCAATATTTCATAGTCCGTTATTCGCGGCAGTGACATGTTTCCACATTTATAAGGCCATTAATTAATTAACATGAAAAGTTTAACACTATGTGTATTTAGGCATTTGCGTTAGATTTTGGAAATACCATAACAATTTATATGGCAGTCACAGCAAAGATCTACATTCAGCTGGTGCGAACGGCTGTCGATTGGTTATGGCAATCGACACACTTGATACGAAACAGTTGCGCCACCGTTCCACGGCGTACAAAGCAACGCTGTGCCAGCGAATGGGCAGCACTTTTGTGATTCAGTGTGTTTGTTGTTGATGCGTAGCAAAGCATCTAAATTTGATTTTTTTACAGGTAAATAAATGGATAGCTCAAATTAAAAACGCGGAAAACAATTATAAGTATATAATAATGCATACGACATCAAACATAATTGCTTCTGAAGGGTTAAGATTTATTAACTGAGCACGTGAAACCAACTCGTTCAAGCTGGGCTTCAGCTTGGGAATTGACACACCCAAAACAACAAATTAATCAGACACGCCCGTTAGCATCGAAAATGTGATCACAGCTAATATTATTTAATTTCCAGCTATCCGTGTGTAGTGAATGCTTGAGCATATTTCATTAGCCTGCAGCGCGTGACGTCACAAAAAAGGATTTAAAATGAATTACGGCCGTAAAACGCCCTCAACCTACCGATCGAATCCCTCGATGTACTCCCATGCCACGGGCAGGTATGCAAATTTGTTACCAGGATATATATATATTTATTGATTTATTTATATATTTCAATGAAATGTGTATCCTTACAGATCCTCTACTAACTTACATTCGAAAATGTCGCGTTCCACGCGAAGCGTACGCATACCCTGGTACCAGAGGCCACTTCTGAAGAACAATCAATACATTGACATACAGAAAGGTGCGATGCTTATAGGCCTATTTGCTGTAGTAAGTTTGTGCGATGATTCGCTTCTGCATGAAAGTGGATTGACTATTTCTTTGCCCCCGTAGTTTCTGTCACTCTTTACCATTGGCACTACCATCTTTGATATCTATTGTTATGCCATGGCTGCTCCAGGATCCACCCATTATGGCTACTATATCATATCGTACGAGTTTGTGTATGTTGGGAACAAGCACGGTATATATATGGCTTCCTATTATCATCGATTTAATTGCAGCCACTTAATCATATGTTTCGAATGTTTTCTAGTACGCAACATGCTAATAGTATTTGCTTTATTCTCGCTTATTATGGCGCTTATCAACTTTGTCACCAGCGTCTTACTGTGCGTCGCCTTGCGTAAGGTAAGCTAAATATTTAGTTGGGATTGGTTTGGCAAACATTTCACTCTCATTTCACTCATGCCTTAAAGCAAGATATACTCGGAGCACAGAAGCACTTACTGAGCAAAAGGGTAACAAAGCATCCAACATAAAAAGTTATATCTAAATTATCAATCGACAAATTAGCAGCAGACTTCCTAAACTATTTTCTTATTATTTAAAATATTAAAATGTTTTGTTTTCATAGGAGTACGAAAAAAAGGTGCTGCCCTGGCTGTGGACCTTTGCCATCTTCACCGTTTGGCGCGCTTTGGCTCTCATCTTTTTTGCCATTGTTAATGATTTGTATTTTGCCTACAATATCATAATGGTACTGCTTTGGAGCATCTTTTGTCTGGTTTCCATCTATGGCTGGGCTGTTGTATATTCGCTGTTCCTTGAACTAGTGGATCTTACAAAGCTGGAAGATCTGGCGCACTTACGTGTAAGTTACTTGTCGTTCATTGTCGTCTAATATCATAAAACTCTTGTTTAACTGTGACCTTTCAGATGGGCACCATGGCCTCGCTGCACGCATCCACAGCTAACTCTCTGGCTGGCTCGCGTCCTACAACACCCCACAGTACTGTGTCCACAATGCCAGTGGGCTAGATAATGTGTTGCTAATATTCTAAGCACAATGATACCGTCCGGTGGAATGTTACACAAGGCAACCGTTCCACATTCATCAGTTTAGTGCCTTAGATGAGTTTAAACAATGTCTAGTACATATCAAAAACGAATTGCAATTGCTAATTTTTATACATGAATGCATAGTATTTATATTTAAGTCTCATTCCGTCCATTTACATACATATATGTATATGTAATTATGTTTATTTAAACAATCTTGTTGTTTAAGAAATCTCCATCTCCATAACAATAATGAATGCAAATTAATATGTTGCAATCATACAATTTTTTAAAGCCTTTTGGATCATTTATACATTTCTCTGCCAATTTAGCCTAACGCCTGTTTTTTTTTTAAGGACAAAATTAAAAAATATGTTTTCTTTTGTTACTTGTGTAATCAAAAGGGTTTCAATTATCATCTATATGTATAAACATGTTTTTCCTGACTCACTGCATTGTGATAAATGCCTTGTCATAATAATTAAATTTTCCACAATGGGAAATGTTTGGAAAAGTTTCACTTAAAATTGAAGCAAAAATCCGACAAATAAAGGTGAGGAATATTTAGAAAATTGTTTAAGCTCAATTTTACAAGTTTGTCCCTAGTAATTACTTAGAAATCAAATTAGGTTATATCGTGAACTTTCCAGATGCATAACACTTTTTTCTAAGAATGTCTAATAAAAAATGTTTAATCTTTTATGGGGAAAAAATAACGAAACTAACACAGCGCAGCATACAACAAAATCGCAATTTAAAATAAAATATCGAATTCAAAAAGACACGCACACGAATGTGTGTGTGTGTGTGTGTGTATACTTTAATATGCCAACGTTTTTTAAAATCTGTGTTCCCTAATCAATCTTGATAACAATTCCTGGAGAGGAGCTTATTATGCCATAGAATATTCGTATACTCGCAAAATGCTAATAGCCTTAAAATTGTCTTTCAATTTTGGGCGTTGCTCCAATTGGAATTCGTTTGTATTATTTTATTTAAGGGAGATTGTATCCAAAAAATTAAATTTTTCTGTGTATACACTAAATTAGTAGCTATGTGTCGAATTTGCTGACTAGTAATTAAATGCTGCAGTATATGCTCAAATCCGGGGCATATTATGAATTATTTTAAACAAAATCATACTAAGGCGATGCTTTCTTCTGGGTGTTGCATATATTTGCGTAACCTTTATACCCTTTTATAATCGGTTCAGGGAATAAAATGGTATCTTTAAAATGTTTGGTATTAACACTTGTGGTCACACCATAAACAGAAATACCTTTTCTAAATGCTACAGTATATGCTTAAAACCGGGGCATATTACGATTTATTTTAAACAAAATCATACTACGGTGATGCTTTCTTCTGGGTGTTGCATATATTTGCGTAACCTTTATACCCTTTTATAATCGGTTCAGGGAATAAAATGGTATCTTTAAAATGTTTGGTATTAACACTTGTGGTCACACCATAAACATAAATACCTTTTCTAAATGCTACAGTATATGCTTAAAACCGGGGCATATTACGAATTATTTTAAACAAAATCATACTACGGTGATGCTTTCTTCTGGGTGTTGCATATATTTGCGTAACCTTTATACCCTTTTATAATGGGTTCAGGGGATAAAATGGTATCTTTAAAATGTTTGGTATTAACACTTGTGGTCACACCGTAAACATAAATACCTTTTCCAGCCTATCGACGGCGACTGTAAAGCCAAAGCAATCAGCTTTTGCGCATCAAAAACCAAAATAATGAAATAAAAATTGGGGCAATCGCCCGCAGCTAACCACACATGCAAACATGAGTTCCATGATCTCTATCAACTAATACCACACACCAACTGGGGTCTTTTTTATTTTTAATACAAATTCGTTTTTTTTTTGTTTTTGGTAAAAACCCAGCCAAGGAACAAAAGGTGTTAGCAGTGCTTGCTGCAACTAACTTTCGCTTGCATTTCAACGCCGATTCAATGAACACGCATACATATGTATGTAATTACGGACAGTATAAATAAATACACAAATACATATGTATGTATGTATATACAAAACATGTACATATGATTGCTTTTGTTTTACTCACTTCGCAGCGTATTGCTACGCAATTTCGCAAAACTCGCAGTTTAATATGTATGTATATTGCTCGTCGTTGTCAAGTCCTGCTATATGTGCCTATGCTGCTCTCCCTCCATTCGCCACTTGTTTATCTCTTGCAGCTGTTCATCGCTGCAACGGTACATATTACTGACTACGCGTCTCGCACCTGTCCAAGTTGAATGCCCCAAAGCAGAATCGGGAAAGAGAATATACTCAGTGCTATTACTAACATAGCGTTCAATTTCGTTGCCGACACGTTTATCAACGTTGCCATAATTTGGTTTCTCCCATCGGTCTTTTACGCAGCGCCGCATTTGCTTTGTGCTCCGATAGTAACTGCGCATTTCCATTGAGGCAGTAATGTGGTTCGCTTGTATCATGCCTGCCAGACAGGTATGATGTATAAAATGCAACGCTACTTCCACGCTGTTCAGATGTCAGACCCTGTCTCTTTGTTTGTTGTTGTTGTGCGTGGGGCGCTTCGTTCACCTCTGTAAAACACCCCCACAAGCTGTGGCATCAACAGCAAGGCACACATACATATGTACATGCATACCAGTTTATTTAGTTTTCTATGTTTCGGGTTTCAGAGTTGTGTTGTTGCTCTCATTTGCTGTTAACTGGTGGCAAGCGAGTTTTTCACCACGGCTGCTTTCTGCGCTGTTGGTGACTAATTGTTGTTATTGCTAAATTTTGACTTTGCTCAATAATACATTGTTTTGTTTTGTATCGGTGCGATCTTAAAACTGACGAAATCGAGTGCTGCGTTCCCCAACTCTCTCTCACTTCAGGCTTCGGCCTTAGCTGTTGTACTTATACATTCACATGTCCATATGTATGTATGTACATACAATACTTACAGACAACATGCGCATATGAAACAGGAAATTATTTTCGTTTTCTACAGAAAAGCTGTTGCCTGTTGTTGGTAGTCTTAAATATGTATGTACATATCTTTGTATGCACATACATATAAACTTACACACGTAGCTGTACATCCAAAACTATGCACACTAACTAAATCTACTTGGTTTATTCTTACATCCATATTAATCGAATGATATACATACATACTTATTTACTAGTTTTCAATTTTCTACTGAAAATATGATGTTTAATGTTTCCTTGTTCAAACATAAAAGCATACATATGTACATACATACATATGTCTATTGTCTGAACATCGATGCGTGTGTGCGTAAAATTGAAGTACATATATCTGTACAGAGATATATATATACATGTCTATTAATATACATATGTATATACATACATACATATGAATGTATGTATATGACGTATAAAAACATTTACATATGTATGCATGCGCAGATACATTTGTCTTATTATTTATGTAGTTTTAATTTTATTTTAAATTATTCTTCCGATTACCGTTAAACAAAAAACGAATCTTGGATTAAGGCTACATAAATACATTCATATACAAAGGTATATGTATGTACATATATGTACATACAAACGCCAAAAACGAAAAACAAATTACAGCCATCAAAATGTTAACCTGTCTAGAGAAATTCACCACTCCTTCGCAACGGGTACAATATTACATGAGAGCTCGTAATAAAAAAGAGCAAAACTAGACACGAATTGTGTGTTATTTCCTGCTAAAAACTTCGTATATATGTATGTGTATGTATAAACACACATAAGTATTTTATTAAATAAGTAGATATTGAATTAAAAATCATACATATTTAATAAAAGTGCGCAGTTTGCATTGATGACGCAGCAACAAAAACACAATGGCAATGCCAACAACATGACAATAACAGCAACTGCTCTCAATAGCTCTCACCCTTACTCTCTCACACAGTTTACGTGGGGCTACAACATGGCGTCGTCGGAATTGTGTCGCCGCTGACTTTTAATTTTTAAATAACAATAAGTTGAATGTGAATAAATATGAACTTATAAGGCACACTTTACGTTTGTTAAATCATATATCATAATAATAAAAATAACGTACAACATAACAGTTCAATTATTGAATGTTAGAAATTTGCTCTCTACCAGCCTCTCCCTTTCATGCACTGCATTGGTCTCTGAATATGGTGGATCGCCATAAACACATACATATCTACCTGCACACATATGAATTTATATAAATTGAGTGTATAAATGTAAAGGTCTGTTACTTGTTACAATCGTTATACTCTTTGAAAATTGTAATATAATTTTTTCATCAAGTATGTTACGTCGAGAGTGGGATATATCCAATCCAATATTATGTATACGAACACACATGTATGTATCTATTCTAGATCAGATCGAGGATTGCTTTTTGAATACAGTTCTATATTATTTTTTTGTTCCATATAAATCTATTAATATTTCAAAAATACATAGATCGAACTTAAATTTATATACGTACATATATTGAAACGAATTATGAAAATATTGTTTTTAACTCTAGTACTGTACGTCTTCCATAGTTCTTGAAATTTTTAATTATGATGAACGATATAATGAAATTATTGAAAATTAATATAGCTATAAGTTGATTAATTTCGTTAATTATGGTTGCAGGGCTTTGAAAATAAACATAAAACCGATCAGAAGAAAATTGAAATTTTCAAGGTAGCTTCATTAAACCGTTTCTCTAAATTTTACGAAATTTCATGGGTAAAAGAACACCGTCTTAATCTGCACGTATTATGCATATAGTAAATATATTTTATAAATTGGGCATAATATCTTTAAGGTTCTGAGATGTTCATTGATCATCAATCGAACTCTTGTATGTATGTATGTATATCTAAAGCTTATTTTTTTGCTCTCAAGAATTTGATATACTACATAAATATGCAGTCTCAATTGGATAATAATAATGTCGAATACTAAGGGTATTCAATTTGCGTCACCCTAAAAATGCTTTTTCTAATTTTTATATATATGTACATATGTACACGCATTCATATGTATTTAATTTAGAAGCAGGTACAATTTAATGTTACAGGTTATTACATTGTCTACATTGTATAATTAAAAAAAAACATTTAGCACACATTGAGTACATGTGTATGTATTTGTTGTTCTTCCATAGTTATTTCTCAAAATTTTGCAAATACTCGCATATTTATTTGTCTGCAATAAAAATTGTGAAATTGGAGTGACTTTTACGGTTGGTTTCTTTATAAGAGGATTTTTTTTATTTTTGCATAGGTTATTTAGCTACTTTTTTTTTACATGGAAAAATGTTTATGTATGTATATATTGTAGTGTATTGTCACTAATATGTGCCTCATATGTATACGTTTATACATATACGTACGAACACACAAGCACAGAATATTTCCTTGTGTTTTTCACCACACTAGCCAAATTCTCCTTAGTTCGCACGCACACATTTGCCTTTATTATTTTGCTCACACTTCCGTCTGAGTATATATGCATTTATATATGCACATATATATGCGTCTGGTTTAATAATGTTACACTACTCAACTCGCTGTTAAGTTAAACTGTTAAATATCTTACTAAAACTTTAATCTGTAGTATGTTTCTCAAGCTGTGCAGTTCTATTAAAATATTTCTGTATATATTTTTGTATATGCAAATATTCACAAAGCTTTAATACGCATTTAAAGAAAAGATTGAAATTGCCTGTGACAAGTCACTTTTGTGTTAACAGATTGTGTTGTGGCAACAACATTGCACTTTGAGTATAACATACTCAATTTCATTTTTATTCGACTGTTTTGCGTTTTGCTTTGACGTTTCATTCGTGCGTTGAACCTTGGAGACTTCACATCGAGTTTGGGGGATCAAATCCACGTTGGGTTTTTGCTACAACTACAACTGTCATCCACAATACAATACACGCGCTGTGTCTCTGCTGCTTCGTCTGCTGGCTAGCTTTGTGTCTGTGTGTGCGTGCGCGCTGTGTTGATTTGGCATAATTTGTAAATAATCTTACAATTTTTGTTACAAATAATCGTCGAGCGCAAATTAAATGCGACTGTTAAATCCGCGCCAGCTTCGCTGCTAACCTCGCCGTCGTGTACGTTGTGTGAAAGAATTTTTAAGTTTATTTCAAATAAAAAGAAAGTTAACCATAATTTGTGATATACATACATATATAATTTGTCTTTGCCCCTGTTTGTGCAATTTCTCATGAAAAGCTTATAATTTATCACAAGTTTTTACAAATACGTATTTGTGAAAAAGGAAAAAAAATCAACCTTCAATCATAAAAATTAATTTCTCACAACTGTGATTCAAACATAACTGGCGTTTTTGTTTAAAATGCTTAGCAATTTGCAATAACTACAAATAGTACAAGAAAGTAAGTGCATTACTTAAGCATTTCTGATGAAAAAATTGTTTAATTTTCGCCTACGTTGTCGTACCACTCACACGCGCTTATTCACCACAATTCACAGCTAAATTTCAACATGAGCGCAGTGCTGAGCTCACCACTGGTCGACCATATTCATGCTCTCTCACTCTCACGCGCGCACACAAGCGTGTCCGTACAATGTGAGATTGTGTTTGCGTGTGTCTTTATATGCAATGTCATAGAACAGACGTTGCCATGTCGCGTAAAACAAAAATAAATCTCAGTTTAAGCGAAGAAAATGAAAGCAAAGACTGTTAAAATAGTAGTAGACAAAATACACAACTGCAATGTATAAATGTACATACATACCGAGTCAACAGAAAACTTTAACCTTCTCATTTTATTAGCACTTAAATATGTGTACGTATGTACTATATGTTTGTACTGAGCTGACAAGTGTGTTTATGTTTTTTTGTAGGAAATTAAAACTCCCTACATTACCACCAGTTTTTCCTTGCGAAATCAAAAAAAAAAAAGAAAAGAATTCTCTCGCTTTTGTCGTTGTCACTAAGGACGTGGCTGAAACACATACTTTACATCAGTGTGACTTAAGGGCCAAGTACATATTTACGCATACAAAGAAGGTTGAAAAATTTCGGTCGATTTAAATTTCACAGTCCCATATTTGCCATTTTTTTTAAATACACATGTTCATACATAAACATGAATGTAAATGCTAGAATGCAGTTCGTGATTAAAAAATTGTGTGCTCTCACTGGATGACTCACCGCACATACATTAATGTACATCCATACATACACACACACATACTAAGGCACTGAGCGAGTCATAGTAAAATAAGTCAGCAGAAATATTTGCTTGGTACGCATTATCTACATGTCTTATCAGCAGAGGCATCACAGGCAATTTTTTTTGTGGACGCACATTTGTTTTCGATGAGGGCACATTTTTCTTGCCATATTCAAATCCAATTTAGACTAATTTGTTTGTGTCTCTGTGTGTGCTCGCTTGTATTTCAACTATTTGCATTCCTCCCATACGTGTGTGTGGGTAGTGATAGACGGTTTTATCGGTTGTAGCTGCAGAGAGTTGAGTGTTTACAGTATTTGTTTTGTGTGAAACTGGATTATTTTTCAAAAAATTGGGAATGTAATAAGAAACTAACAAAATACTCAGGTAGAGTTGAAAATTAATAATCTTGAAATTTTCTGTGTACTAAATTTCGGAAATTTATTGGATTTGTCATTAATATTTTGCCAAACTAACTTTTTAGAGCTGTACCCAATTGTATATGCTTTCGAGTGAATTGGTTCGATTTACTCAAACAGCAATTGGCACGTGTATTGAGTTTGGTTCTTATCGCTAACTGTACATTATCACAATAACGTTTTATACCCCACTTTCACTGTACAGTTGCGAATAAACAAATTGTTGCACGTCGCTGCTCTTATAGTGTTTGTGTATTATCTACAGATATACATATGCATATGTATCCATGCATAAACATGATCAAAGCACCCGCTTGATGTTACAAGAGTTTTAGTAAGGGTGCCCTATTGTCAGATACCCTGCACTCGAGTTTAAGATTATTTTTGACGAAGATATATATTATAATAAATTATATATAATAGGCCGACTTTATTTAAAAGTTGTTTAACTGAAAATCCATAGTATGAAATTGGTGATTTATTTAAAGGGTACTGGTATTATATTTATTTATTTTATAATATGTAAATACCTATATGGTAGTTCCCAGTCTTCAGAGCGTTACATTGAAAAAATCATGGGTTTTGAAAATTCGACCCGCAACTGTGGTAAATTGGCGGAAAAGGGTTATATGTGATGATTGTATTTGTTGTACCGATCGGTCACTTTGAAAGATCATTGTGTAAAATTATTTTATTTCGCGAAATCCATCCCTCTATTATATTATATTATATATATTATATATTATATATATATATATATATATATATATATTAATATATATATATATGTATTACAATGGTTCATTGATCTGCACTCGAAAGTGTTTAGTCCGACGGATCGAACTTTTATGAACTTCAAACGCAATGACTAATTTTCAGCAGAAATTTTTTTTGTTTACCATTTAAAAGTCCATAAACAACACGTGTCATCTGTTAAAAAGTATACATACATATTCTGTTTGCTATAAATTTATGCAAATTAAATATACACATTACACATTAAAATGCCTAAGTATGTGTAAGAACGTGCACGGAACATCTACATATGCGTTATACATTCACAGACACACATGTCTGTGTGTATAGTCATGATGACGACGGCAAAGCGAAGAATAAACTAAAAACAAACAACTCGCCCGTTTCGTTGCCTTCAGCGTCTCCCGTTTACGTATGATTGTACGTCTGTGTATGTGAGCTAATTATTAGTTTTGCTGTTGCTATACCCTGTGCAATTGAAATAAGGTTTTGATAGGCTATAATGAACATTTTCAATCACAAATAGGCGTAACAGCCATAAGATTTTGCGACATTATGAAGAGTATACATATTTAGTATGTGCCCCATCTGTGACTATACTGACTATACTGTGACTATACATATTATTGTACATTTTCAGAGTATTTCCTAGTCGCGCATTCTCTATTTGTTATCGCGATACAGTTTTCCTTCTTATATGCTGCCGTTTCTCTCTGGCGGCTCTCTTGATTTTAAACATACTTACAAACACATACAAAGACCTGATAAGTGCGCGTCACCGTCACCGTCGACTTCAGCGTCAGCTGCTCGGGCTAACTCTTGTCTCCGCCGCCATAGCAACGCGTGGATGGCCACGACCTCATTTTCTGTTGGTTTGTTTTTTTTAGGTCGCGTGCAAATGGGCACCTCGCCGCCACCCTACCGCACTACGCACTGACTGTGATCGTCGTCGTCTGACCTCGCTCCCACTATTACTCTGGCGGGAGCTTTTTTACGCTAAGCGCAAATCAACAATACCCCATGATATAGAAGCTCTTGGTTTTTATCTGTATTTATTTTTTATTTTTTTTGGTCCGTTTGAGCTATTTTTAGTCGTAATCCGCTCTACTTGATCTTGTATAAATACAAGATGTAGGCATATAGCTACATACCATATGTTGTTGTGTTCTGGCTTCTCGTTTAGTTTTCATTTGCTGAGTTATGCAATATATTTATTTATTTTATTCTATTCTATTGGGTCATATGTGCATACATTTGCCTCTATGTATGTTGCGTTCGTGTATTAATGAGCATTATGACTATACCTAGATATTTTTGATCTGTAGAAAAGTTGTTTTAGATTTCGAAATTGTAGTATTATGCCTTAAATCTTTTTTTAAATCCATATTTCTGAAGACACGAAATTTGAAACACATCAAGTTTATTTATTCCCGGTTCCATCTCTCTTGCAACTTATCCATGACAATGGTGGGCAATAACCTTAACACTGGACCCATTCCAATAAATCATACTGTCATATTGTCAATTACATTTTTGAACAAATTAAAATGGAATTAGTTCTTTTATATTTTGGCATTTTAAAAGTTTACTACATAGATTACTACAGATTTCTAAATTTCCCAATTCGTTCAGTATACGTATACTGATGCATATATAAATGTAAATGCCATAGTCATTTTCATTAAAACAACCGACCCATGCACCAGCAGCTTTATTTTTGCGTACCCGTTTTTCAACGCAGTCATAACAGTACTTCTTAGCATATTCACCACATCTGGCTTTTTTGGCTTTGGCAACCGTCAACTCTCCCTTCTACTGTTAGCTAGGGAAGATGAAAATCGAAACTTTTGCCTTTTTGCCTTATTTTTTCTTATCTCGCCTGTCTGCCTTTTGCCTTGATTCTTTGTCGTTTTCGTTTCCCTGGCCAATGCCCCGCCCTAGTCCTCTTTGTCTCCGTGGTCGCGTCTCCCGCTTGCAGTTCATTGGCTTGCATCAAAGCTATGTACACACTTATGCTAACATGTCTACTGATGCATGTATGTAAGTGATGTGTTTAATGAATATCAATAAAATGAACGGTATGCGCTTTGTTGTTAATGGCACACCTCTAACTCCCACAAATTTGACGTCAACATCACTGAGTCAGTCGGCAGCTCTACGCTTTAGCCTTCAGTTGGTGCTGCAAAGGTCAAGCCCCAACGGCAAAGTTCAATAACACAATATGGTAGTCAAAAAAATATTGCTTGTTAAATTCCAAGGCTTCCGCGTTTCGTTGTTGTCTTGTTGTCTGATTTTGTGTTGTGTTCCATTATTGTCGGCTAAGCATCGGTGTCAGTCATTTCTTAAATTATCTCTTCTGACTCAGGTCATTAACCATTTAAACCTCTGAAAAGCCTTAATAGATTTTAACGACCTACAAAAAAAGGATACTAGAGGTATAAAGGAATTGGTAAGGCAATACTTTTTTTGCTAACCATATTGGGATATAAGTAAACCTTCATAAAAAAAATCAAAAATAATGGTTTTTAAAACCTTTTAAATAAAAAGTAAGACTTATTCTATAAATTGCTACTTTTCAATAAAAGTTAAAAATTTGTATATTCCAACAAGTAAGATGCTCTAGTTGGAAGCATCTCGCGATACGAGCTCGTTTGCTTTAGCAGTAATAAAAATAAAATAACAAAAAATATAGTAAACTGATTAAAATAGCAGCACAGAAAACAATACAATCGCAATTGCAATGCTGCTCATAGAATTCAATGAACATGCATATGCATGTGTGTGTGTGCATGCATACAGAAGTTCTTGCAATTTGCGGTAGCTGCCCCAACCACGTGGGCCGCCAAAACACATATTCTCTAATAACTTCTGTGTTTCTTAACCGATCTTGATGAAATTTTCAACGGCAGATCTTATTGTACCATAGAATATTTTTATATTCTCAAAAAGTCAATAGCACTAAAGTTGTGACGTAAATTGGCGGGCAATACAAATTACTTTTTTTTAACTTGATTTATGTGGTGCTGTGGTGGTAGCGGAGGTGGCGATAGATATAAAATGAAAGGTACTTGGTATATATATATACTATTCTTTAAGTTAAAACTCAAGTTTGGTGACTCTAGCTCTCAAAACCCAAGAGATTTGCTCAAAAAACGGGATTTCGAATTTCATTTTTATCGATTATGCGAAACAAATTCGTATTGCGCGGGGACTTGGAGATCCTACGTTTCAAGTCTGTAGCTCTTATGGGGTCGGAGATTCGTCCTTTTGCCTGTTACATACATTGGCACAAATACATTAAACCCCTTTTACCCATTTTAAATGAATTCAGGGTATAAAAAATGCATCTGTATGGCAATTAGTTCCGTTTCACAAATTGCTTATTCTTCTTCTTGCACCCACGAAAATGACGGCAACGCCACACGATCTTCGTGGTGATTGGTTGACAACGTGAACCGTGTACTCGCATCGAACCTTACTCTGACTCACTTGCTGTTGCCTCTGCCTCTCTATTCCAACAGCTACTGTTGTAGTGTTTCTCATATTTTATGTTGCCATGCGATTTCCATAAATCTTCTTCGAGTGTGTGTGTGCGTGTAATTGTAAAGTGAGTCGTCGGCTCCGTCACAGCATGACAACTTGAGAATTTAAAGGTTACACGAGCGAGGGATTTTTCTCAATACACACATGCTCTGACTTTGTAAGTGCACACCTTGCCGTTTATTTTTGCTGTCTGTGTGCATGTGTGTAGCATCGATGAAACAGGAGCGAATCGAGACACAAGCTAAGGAGCACATATGAACGAACGCCTGGCCTAGACAAGCATTCGAACGTTATTATTATTATTATTGTTGTTTATAGCCTATGAATTCTTAATATATTTCTTAAATAAGCATTAGGCAAAACTCTGCTGTCCGATGCGCATTGATAAATAAAGTTTTAGGACTATTAATACCGTAGATATTTTACAAATTTTAACTATTTCTTTTTTTCCCTGTGTATTTATGTGTACACAGTCTGTGTGATTCTTTAGCCCTGACGGCTGCTCGCCACTTTGTTGGTGCTGCTCCCAGCATCTTGTGGCTCATCTTCTGCTCTTTGTTTTGGGTAGCGCCCAATAAAAAGTTCAAGGTAAATTCACTTTAGCTGCATCCTCTCAATTCCTCGTCTGTCATTATTTGCTTTCTCTATCTTGACAGGCGTGCACAGCTCTCCTAATCACTTTTGGGCAGGCAAAAACTGGCATTGCCATTCTCATTCCTTTTCGAAGTAGTAAAATTTTATTAAGTTGAGTTTTTGACCTAAGTATTGTACATTCTACATGCATATAGAATAGAGATTCACCCACACAAACTGGAAATTGTTTGGTTTATGTTGTTCAGGCTTTATTTGTGGGCATCATCTCATAATACTCTGTTTACACATTCATTCAATTTATTTTGTGAATTTTCCATGAATTAAACTTGTACGCATAAAATTCAATAAAAAGATAAAGCATCAAAATTCTAGTCAGGAGTTAGCCAAAAATAAAACTACGCTTTTACAGAATGATAAACTGACAGATCCAGGACCAATCAAGACAGACTTAAATAATTATGCACAAAATCTGGAAGATACTTATCCTTTTGCTTACCAGTCGTAAACCAGGGGTTTTATATACCCTTGCAGAGGATATTATAATTTTGTCTCGAAATGTGTAACGCATAGAAGGAGACATCTTCGACCCAAAAAATTATATATTTTCTTGATCAGTATCAGCAGCCGAGTTGATATAGCCCGTCTGTCTGTATGCAAAGTAGTCTCTCAGTTTAAAAGAGAGGTCGCAAATAATAGCCAACACATATTTTCTTGTTGTTGTCGTGTGACGATATCAATGAAAGCTAAAGCGAGAGAAAGAGGACACGACATAATCCAGTTATGCATGTAGCCAGCTATTTTATATATATTTACATGCATACATATGTATGTTCAAATCTGTAAGAAAGGACCCATTTAATAATTGATAGTTTGTTGTGTATGTGAATTTTTATTAAGTATTAAGCTTAAAAACCAACAATGCATGCAATTTCGTTAGACACACACAAGCACGCCAGTGCATATGTACATGCATATCCACAAAAGACACTGGCAGTTTTTTTCTGTTCAGTGTTCGTGGAAAAACATGTGCGAAAAAAAACACGAAAAGTGACTGCTCGTGCCTGGCAGCAGACCGCTTAGAAACAGAATTTTGTGTGTTTTCTTTCTCCCTGATTCAGTCCGACAAAAGCTGGTTATTTGCAGACAACCCGAAAGTGAGGACCGAAATTTGCGACCTTTGGTTTTAAAGCTATCGTCATGAAACTTCGCAGAAATCCCTCTTTCTCTTGCACACAGCACATATGTAGGAACCACTATATTATATAGCTGCCATAGGAACGATCGGTCGAAAAGTAGGCTCTTGTATGAAAAACTTTGTTGTCTGTAAAGGTCAAGATATCGAGATATCTTGATGTATGAAAAACTTGTTTATTTTTCAAGTTATCTTGACAACTCAGCATTTATAAGTTTCACTATGATCCCTACATTTATGCAAAATCTGGCTTACATCAGATCACTATTTCATATAGCTGCCATAGAAACGATCGGTCAAAAATTAGGTTGTTCTATGAAAAACCTTTTTGTTCTTCAAGATACATATCTTAAACATATTCGCCGTTAACTAGATACGGGCAAAGCATTATGAGCATTATGAAAAGGTTTGGGTGCAAGGGTATTAAATTTTCGGCCTGCCGAAGATAGCCCTTCATTCTCGTTTTAATTGTAATTTGATTTTAAAATACATATATGTACTTTTAAACTTGTTATATAAGGCCTATACATTTTAACACTGAGAAAACACGAAATAACGCATATGTTTAAGTATTTGTTTATTTTATTTTGCCAAGAATGAAATTCATATTTATGATTTGAAGAATTCCAAGTGTGGTACTATAAACCAAAATATTCTAATCCTCAGATTAGAAGATCACCAAGATAGGTGGGGTGGGGTACAGGGGATTTTGAGTCTACATATTCGACTACGCGTTTTTATATGCTTGTTGTAACTTTTCTCTTTTCTCATGACTCTCTACTTTCCGTTCATTTTTATTGCCTTCAAGCCATTTAAATTGCCACTCATACTAAGATGGCAAGCATTATGATTGATTATTTTTGTTTTCAAAAGTGGGACCCCTCATATTTCGTTTGAGGTCTCATTCACCAATTGCAGCCGGAAGAGCGTCGCATTCTTGAGCGCGATTTTTAAATCTCACAAGCAAAGCTCAGATGGCCGCCATGTTGTTTAGTCGCTCTCTCTCTCTCTGCGCCTCGTTGAGCTCTTCAATAATTCTTTATAAATTCAACGTCTGCTGGAGGTGATGTTGCTCCTCTGTGCATTTCATCAGCTTCTTTCTTGGAGTCGACGCTTCTGTATGTTATTGCTGTGGCTTAACTCCCTCATTAATATGGAAATATGACTCAAACGCAGGCCCCATGCGTATGTGTGTGTATATTTGATTTTTCGTGTGTGTAGGTGAGAGTGTTTTAGTATGGCCTACCAGTCTGCCTTTGTTCCTTACCTTTTATGCTCACTCCGTTTTCTTTCCTGTTGTAAATTTCGTGATTTAAATGCAGGTCAACAGCACATTAACCTTTACTTTGTTAGTCTTGTGCGTTCATTACCGTTTTGATATTGCAGTGGAATCTTTTTTAAATTGGCCATTGCAGCGTTGTTGAGTATTTACTTTACTATGTGAAAAAAGGCAGCTTGGTTTTATGGACAGATGTTAAATTTGGGATAATTTGGCTTGAATTTCATTTTTAAATTTCTACATAATAAAAGATACATGTTTACTGACCTTGAAAAGTCCACCCTACAGACAATTGCAACGTTGAACTTTCATGTTGGTTGGAAACTAAGGTACAAGGTTGTACAGAAAAATTTAAAATTTCGGACGCCTAGGAAATGGGCATTAAAATGATTTTCAAAATTCGATAAGTTAATCATGTCTGGGGTATGCTTTTACATATATGTATGTACGTAAATGCGGTGTACAATATGTATATGCACAGATTACTACAGTGCAGGGGTTTATCAAGTCGATTACTCCCGACTCTAGCACTAACTTGTTGCTATCGCAGCGCAGCACACGTTTGCTAATGTTGTTGTTTGTTTTGTACATAGTACTTGGCAATGTTATGTATTTGTTATGCAATTTTCACAAATGCGCATTTGGCATACACTCGCTTTCACATATATGCACATATAAAAATACATTCATACATTTGTTCATGGGTTGCTAAGCAACTCTGGTGTGTTATATTTTAATTTTCCTGTGGGCAACTGTGACGTCACATCAAAGAGAGCGACAGATGTCGTCATCACTTAAAGGCGTTTTACACTGAAAATATAAATTAAGTTACAATTATAATTATATTTATTTTAAATCGATTAGTCTCAATAAAATAAAAATGAACCTTTAATAAGTAGATACATTTTATGCATTCTTCCCCAAAGGGACCACACAAAGCACAAAAAAATCTCAGTGTGTCTTAACCCTTTAATCATAGAGTAATAATATCGTATGATTTTCTTCTTTGATAGGGTGTATACCGTTTATGTCCGCAGTATAAATATGTATATCCCTCAATGATCCCTCAGAAATCCATTTGAATTTTATTTTGCTGTTCATTTAGCAGGCCGTATCTACTGCTGCGTTTTGTGTCTAACGGATGGACATACATGTGTTCATATGTATGTATGCGCAAAAGCTTTCGTTCACTATCAGCTGCTCTCTCTCTCTCTCTTTTGCTTGTTTTTCAACGATTCTTTTTTACGTATTAGGAACGTGTGGCGATTTTAATGTTAGTAGTTGACAATTTGATGACTGGGGTGAGTGCCAAAGAGAAAGAGACAGAGAGAGAGAGAGGGAGAGAGAGAGAGAGAGAGCGAAACGTATCGTTGACAGACAGCTGTTTTGGCTTTCAATTAATCGCAACAGCAGGAAATAAACTACACACATTTGTATATACATTAAAGATTATACACATGTACGTACGAAATCAACAGAACTCGCAGGTCACTTATTGTATTTTTAAATTTGGCCAGTGTCTATGCACTTAAACGTTGGTAGATATACTAATTCTAAAAAATAGATTTACATGTACACCAATATAGTCGTATAGCTAAAAAAAATGCATTATGTAGAAATTAAGTATATATAATATTAGTATAACTTTATTTTAAAATTTTTGGGAAGACAGTAGAAAAAATAATATAATAATTTATTTGACCGCTTGCATACGGAGATGTTGATCTCCAAACAAAAATACATATACAAATACATTAATACATTAATACATAAATACATACACATACATACTTATTTATACAAATGCAGTACGCGCAACAACAGAGGCCACTTTTAACAGTGACTGCAATGCTTTGGCCCTGCTCTTATTTGACAGAATGTTATACGTAAGCGCTAGTTTGTACTTGCGTACATATCTGTGTGCTCGCGTGTGTGTAGGTCTCTGATCTGCTATATCAAGACCTTTTTAGTTTTTAATCTAATTATTATTAATTATTTTTCATATAACATATATATTATTGCGAACGATTTATTTATTATCATATTAAGCGTTTTTGTCATCACCAAACACAACTGGTAAAGGTAATGCAACTCTTAAATGTTTTGAAATATATGTTTAAATAAATTAAGACTTGAGGATGTTTAATTTGTCAGATTTGTTACCGATTTTATTACACGTGTTATTAGTTACACTTGTTTAGCTGCAACCAGGTTATTAGCTGTAAAGTTCCTCTAGCGATTGGCTGAATATGAATATGTAAACTGTAGTTATGTGCAAGAATCGATATAAAATAACACAATATCGATAGCTTGAAATGTCGATACACAGTCGATATTTTGCTTTGCAGCAGGCTCTATCTGTCTGTGTTAGTAAAATTATAAATAAAACTTGTTTAATTTGCTGTCTATCTATCGAGTCGTATCTTTTGCCTCCTTCTCTCTCGCTATGTCTCTCTTTCTGTCTCACTCTCGCCCGCTGAAGTGACGGATAAAACTGGTTTGATCTTAGCTTATGTATTTCTCTGCTTTTTTGTGGCATGCATGTGTACTTGTATGAATTTATTTATGAATGTGTGAGTTTATATGTTGACAGCCTTGAAGAGAAACTAAAAAACCAGATGTAATTTTGTTTGTTTATGGCACAACTCAATCGTAACTTTTGTGCTCTCTTACTCTTACTCGCTCCGAAAGGCGTATTTTGTGAGACACTTTGTTGCATCGTTTGAAAATAAGAGTGCTCGCATTTACTGCAAACAAATTTAAGGCTCGTCGAATTTCTTAAGACATATCATTCATTTTACCCATAAGCCAAAAAAATCTATAAATACTATTGCTGAGCTGCATTTTCCAGGCGTTTTCAGTATTTTTTTTGGTAAATTTTTCTCCACGCTGCTTAGTTACATTTCTATTGCATTTGATTTGCAGGTTAACGATTGGATTAAGAACTCTGTTTGCTCCGCGTATGTCACGAAACAAGCTAATTATTTGGACGGAAAATAGTTAAGCAAACAGTAATACGAACTGATTATACATAATAATATATATAAAGAGACGAAAGGAGAGGAGTCGAAGTTGCTGACGCCGCAGCTGCAACTGGAAATAACCGCAACATATTTCGCTGGGCGAAAGTCAGCAACAACAAAAGAGAGTAGACGATACCATTGTCGATCCATCGTTGTCCAATCAACGTTTTAATTAACGCACACATACACACACTCTACATAAAGTTGGTCCAGCCAGCATGGAACGTGAATCGAATCCAATGCAACCCATGTGCCGCTCTGGATGCGGGTTCTATGGAAATCCAGCCACAGATGGTCTGTGTTCGGTTTGTTACAAGGTAAGTATATTAACCACCTCACATTTAATATGAACCATGAATCAAGATCCAAATTTATTTCCTTCTGCAGGACTCGCTTAGAAAAAAGCAACAGCCACCTGTAAGCAGCACACCTGCCTCAGTTCCAAGCCCACAACCTAGCCCCACATTCAGTCCGGCCATTGCAACAACCAACACCGCACAGCCCACGGTACAGAGCTTACAGCAGTCACACAGTGATGTAAAAGAGGTGAGTGAAAGGTTTGTTCAAGCCATCGATGTGGGATTTCTTGTTCCAACTCTTTTAGTAGGCCAAGCAGTTTGTGGATGCCTCTGATATCTTTGTATTTTTCATCAGTCAGTCACAAATTTTTTTTTGTTTTTCGGATATAAATTTAGTCTTCTTATAAGTGAAATAGTCTAAACAACTTGTATGTGTAAAATATAGAAAAAGTTAATTGTAACAGTGCATCGTGTGTGTTGGCTGTGCTGGCTGTGCTGGCCACGTGTCGCTGCAGTCTACGGTGGAGTTGACAAGGTAATCCAAACAGAGATCCATGTCTCTCTCACATTGCTGTTCCTTAGGAACACCGCCATCTGATTAATTTAACAACAGGACTAATTGGCCTTTAGTGGTGGTGTTGTTCCTCAGTAGTGAATCAAAATTTTGAATAATTAGCAAGTATTATAATTTAAATGTCAGTTGAATGGATTCTACATTCTACATTATTTTTCTTTAACAGATTTGTAGATACCATTTTGTTAAATGTTTCAAGTAAAGATCGGATCTGCCAAAAGCATAGTTTTACCACAATAGAAAACACATTCGAGACATGTAAAGTGGCAGAAAATAGGAGTGTCTTTCGTTTGTTAAAAGCGGCCGAGTTAGTTAAATGCAACCTTTGCTTATAAATTCTGAATTGGTATTGTTTAAACCTAAATTTAATATGGTCGTAATATCTCTTAACGGCCGTCCAGTTTAAACTTTAGAAAGATGGCTTAAATTTTATATTTCATGTTGTTGTGGTAATCAATTAATCTATTCAATTAAGTTGCTTAGACTTTGTCCATGGCGCATCTTCTAGTGAAAATGTGAATATTTCTATTTTAATACTCCCTTTCCTTCTATACTCCTTTATTTCCTCTTGTAAATAATAGGTGTGTGCATTATTGTTTTTTAGGAAGCTAGGGTCTTATATATTTCCTTATTGTTCTTCAAATATTAAGCTATTTTTCAACTTTATCAGATCGTTATAAATGATGCTTAATACGCTGAGTTTGGCAGTCTACTAGCCGTTCGGATTCTGATAGATGATGTAGACTGGGGAGAGCTAATAGTTTGCTTTGGTTCTATTTTTATTTTTATAATTGAAGTTTTGTTCTCCCAAAATTGTATTTAGAGTAGTGAGCAAGAGGAACGGGCACAAGGACTGGTTTTCTACTACTACTATAATAACTGTAGACCAAATATTTACCTCTGTGATGGAAATGAATACTAAGAGTTTGTGATAAAATATAATATGTATAAAAGTGCCTTGACCTTAAAATCAGGGACATGGGAATAATGTGAAATTTGTCAGTCATATTCGAAACAGAATCTAGTGAAACAACATTTGGCTATCTTTCAAAATTTTCCTGGAAAATTCCAAATTCGAAGGAATGCGCAATTTAAGCGGTTCCCTCAAGGCATCAGGGCGTAATTGTGCAACTACTTCAGCAGCTGTTAGAATGGAGGTCAGCTCGTGCTCTATGCCGTCGACAGCGCATCGCCCAAGGCGTAAGAAGCATTCCCGAATAGCGCGTGTCTCGGCTGGAGCATTGGCCCCTGCCATCAATTTGCCTTTACCAGTGAGACCAGGAGGCACACTTTCGGCTAAGGGTACACGTTGCTGTTTTTATCTCTTAGGCGTTGCGCAGTCGCACTAATCTTGTTTCCCTACTTGCTTCCTTCCCCTCCTGCGCGTCAATACGCTTCCTTAGCAGACGGAGGATTCCGCAAAGGAGACAACGGTATCGCCTCTAGCTCTGGTGTCAAGTCAGCTCGTATTCCGCCGTCTCCGAACTTAGCAGAGAGTCAAGTTAAAAAGAGTTCACTGTCACGTAAAAGCGCCGGTGCAACTGTGACTTCGAACTCAAAGGGTGGCAGAGCCGAGGCTAGCGGTTCCCGTAAGGTTAAGTTCTCGGCTAACGTGCACACGTTTCCGTCCAACACCAGTAACAAAAAGGCGCGCATCGGCGAGCTACAGCTTAAAAAGCGAATCAAGAAGCTTAAGCGTAACCATCCGAGATCGGCGGTCGGCGACAAGAGTGTCGCCAACAAGATTGATTTGTCCATAACACAGCAGCCCAACACTGTCCTTGGCAAGGACGTTCAGCATTACGGCACAATCATAGACGTGGAACCCGTTGCATTGGCACGCGGGCGCAAGTCAACTTGCGAAGCTCCTAAAGCGCCAGTAGCTGGCACGTTCCGCAAGCCTAAGCAGCTGCTCAACAAGAAGGTTAAGAAACCGCGCATCAAGGCTGGAGCAAGCAATCGTCAACCGATAGTAGTAAACAGTAGACCGGCTCCTCGTTTGGCCTACTCTGTACAGCCTGACGTAAAACGCGATACGTTCCTCCCTGTAAGCAGAGGCAAAAATAAGCCAGTGCCCGGGCGCGTACTCTAGCTGCGCACTATACGCCATGGAACAGTCTAACGGCGATAAATCCGAGAAGCCGAGGCAGATGTCTGAGCAGAAGCTAGAGCATAAGTCTGAGCCGCAGACAGAGCAACAGCCGCAGCAGCAGCCACAACAGTCGCAGCAGCAGCACAGCAAGCGCCGCATAAGCGACTCGAGTCTCATCGACGAATGTCCAATTAGTAGCGATCTGGTCCAGCATAGAAAACTTTTGGAGGCAGCAGACTCCTCAGCTGATGCAGTTGCTAAGAAGCGGGTAAACACGCAGAACCAACCACACACAATGCTAACGCTTAGTGAGGAATTTTCTTGTTTTATGGGATGGGGTCAGAATCAACTTCACTTTGCAAAATAAAACGTAAAAATAATAATGGAATACTTTTAAATTGCAGTTGGAACAGATTGTAGACATGTTGTTGTTGTTGTGTGTTGATTGACATTTGACTCACATTTATAAATTTTTCTAATCTCTTGCGATTGTCTAGAAAATCACAGAGGAAGCCGCCGTAGCTGCCAAATCGAATAGCGAAGCCATAATATCGGTGTCAGGTCCAAATACTTCCACACAAGCAGCTGCCTCCGCCTGTGAGCAGGATGACAAGGACAAGGAAGATGACAAGGACGCCAAGAAAATGAAGAACCGATGTGGCGAATGCCGCAAGAAGGTTGGCCTGACTGGTAAGATTTGATATAAATGCGTTTGTTTTATTGATTTTAATAGCCGTTTCACCATGGGCTTATTTCAGGTTTCCAGTGTCGCTGTGGCGGCTTATACTGTGCCGTGCATCGTTATTCCGATAAACACAACTGCACATTCGACTACAGAGAGCATGGCGCCCAGGAGATTCGACGCAATAATCCGGTTGTGGTTGGCGAGAAAATTCAAAAGATTTGAATTGCGAGAGATTGTGCCAGTAACAGTAGCCGTAGAATAATAACAACTACATATTATGATAGTATATATATACACACGCTACGCACCAACAAATCAATATAAACAACAACAAAAAAAACTCCCAAGCATAAGAAAACACAGCAACACGTATACATACACACAAACACACGCACACACAAACACAAACACACACCCACACACACACCCACACACACACCCACACACACACCCACACACACACCCACACACACACCCACACACACACCCACACACACACCCACACACACACCCACACACACACCACACACACACACACACACACACACCCACACACCCACACACACACAAACACACACAAACACACACAAACACACACAAACACACACAAACACACACAAACACACACAAACACACACACACACACACACTCACACAAACCCACACAAACCCACACACACTCACACACACTCACACACACTCACACACACTCACACAAACACACATAAACAAACACACAAACAAACACACACACACATTACAAACACACACATTACAAGCACACACATACACATACATATATGTTTATATACGCATATATGTATATAGATATATATGTATATATAAATACTATAAATAATTGTAATTGTAATTTAATTATAATGTTAACAATAACAAGAAACAATAGTACAGAAACGTTAACCAAATACCACGCAAACAACACCTACAACGGCAACTGCAACAATAGCTGCTAGGAATAACATCTATAAATTCATCGCAGTTGCAGCAACGACGAAAGTAGGAGCAGCAGCAGTAACAACCACTATCATGACACCTACAGCATCATTCTAACTTGAACCAGACGCGTATGAGCGCGTTAGCAAGTACAACAAGCACCAATCGCCGCTAACTGCTGTGACCTATGACCTGTAACCTGTAACTCAACGATTGGTAGACCATCTAGATGTTATTCCGAATGCAAGTTTCACATTTTTTTGTATTCGATGCTTCGTCAACAACACAACACATACGATTTTCAACAAAAACAAGAAAACACGCATTTGCAATTTGTTACCAATTACACAAAAGAAGATAAATTTTATGTAGACAACGTGTGTAACTTGTGTTTGTAATGTGTTGCATATATGAAAAGCAAACTAAAAAAGGCAAAATACAAAAGCAAGCAAACAAAAACCACTAAATCTAAATTTAAACCCAACAGCAACAGTAGCAACAACAAACCGCTTAGAAAACTATTTCATAATTTTTAATTATCGATTGATTATGTATGTATATGTATTAAAACTAAAACCCAAACAAAAAACACAAACAAAACATGAAACGCAAAAAGGCAAAACAAAAAAATGTATAAAAATTCCTTTGGACAAATATTGAAAAAGCAAAAAAAAACTGAAAGAAAGATATATATATATATATATATATATATATAGTGAGAGCGCAAAGGAGTGATTTAGATGGAGAAAGCAGCGTATTAATACTAAACATATAAAATTCATTATGTAATTAACTATCTAAACAAAGAAGGCGAATGCAGTGCAAGTTACGCGTTTTTCATTTTATATTTTTATTTTGGTCCCAAAACTAAAAGCGAAATATTTTATGTATATTCAATCGATTTGATTTTTGATGAACACATATATATATAGATGTAAATAACGTCATATGCGAACATACAAGATTCTTTTGGGTATATGCACATTTTAAACATAATTACGTTGCAAAACATAAAAGCCTGCAAACGTTATAATATATATGGTTTGTCGCTAGGTTCTTATTGCTTTAAGCGTTATTTAGTTTTCTTCGTTTATGTTAAAAAGAAATTAACGGGCATACATAAAAGTTATTTTAATTTTGCTTTCTTCCTTTTAGTAATTAAAGATTTATCAAAACCAATTACAATAATACATATGTAGATATAAATTTTGTTGTTAGCATTAGCCATTATTCAAGCAAAATGCAAAACAAAAGAAAAAACAAAAAAAAAAATCAAATAAAAACAAACGAGGTAAATGCAATAAATTTTAATTTAAAACTTAAAAAAAACCCCAATTAACGCAGAACCGTTTTAGCACAGCTATTTGAGGAATTAAGCAAAAACAACAATCAGAAATAGCCTACTTACGAAAGCATCAACCAATGCCTCAGGACAGAGGGTATACAAGCTCGGGGCAAGGTGAATGCTTTTATATGGGGGCAATATTATATGGCTGGATTAATGCGTTTACTATATTGGTTTCTAGATCTTGTTTTTGGGGTAGTCAAGTAGTCAATCTACTAAGCTCTGATTTAAGCGATATGTTTTTTGCGCCTTCTTGTGGATAGACAACTTCAACAGACCGGGTAAAGACAAACAACTTGAACTTGAATAGAAAGCACAACCATATACAATAAATTAAGTTTCAATAAAAAAGTCAAAACATAAAACTGTACAAAACCAGCAACTTAATCATAATTTTAACTAAACAAAAATCTATTGTAAATTTGAAAGAGAAACTAGGAACTGCTATTAAAACAAAATAAAATATAGACAACCAACAAGAACAGCAAAATTGTCATTTTAATTTAATTCAAGTTTATTAGTTGTTAAAATTTAACTTGTCTAAAACTGGCTGAAAAACAATATACCATGCTACACGAACGTATGTTATAATTCAATAATCACTTTAAAATTAATTAGTAAAATTGTATGCATTAAAAAGTAAACTTATTCAAATATACACACACAAGAAAAAAATAAAATCTAAATACCAGAATAATGCTGGGATCCCGCATCCAAATGAATCTGGGTCTGTATAGATCAGTAAAAGCTATTGGGGCTGTTAGGGGTCCAGGTTTCTGGACAACTTATAAACACGTGGGCGTAAAGAAAACACAAATTTTAACGAGTTCGAAATTAGTTTTTCTTTGTTTTTAATTAGATATAGTTTATGAAATTATATTTTGAAACGCTTCAGTGTGTTTTAGTTCAAATTGTGTTTATGCTAATAAAAAAAAAGTGAAAAGGCAAATAATTACTAATTAACTAAACTTATTATGTAAATACATATATGCATACATACTTTTATCGTATTGTAAGCGCCATTAATTTTAGTTTAAAATTTGTATTCTATTTGCTGTTCTTTTGTTTTTAATTGGAGTTTTGTCGTTTTCGCTGGACGCACTTCTTAGTCACTCTTGTGCTTATAAACTTAAGGACACTTAAAAATACATATATATATACCAATTAAATTTTGCGAATACATTTATTTAATCACCTCTACCAAGATCGTTTTTTGTTCATATTATGGACTATTGATTTTGGGCTTAAAACTTTTGTTGGCTGACTCAAGAAAAATATGTAGTTGTAAGAACGTATAAAAGAGTACATACATGGATAATGATACCAAGCACGAAAATTTATTATAAATGATATAAATTTATATTATCTATATAATATAAATCTATAATATACTAATGTATAATTGTAATTAAAAACGTAAAACTACTGCAACAAATGAAAACACGTGAACATATATTTAATGACTAAATGGTAAAGCTAGTTTGAATCTAAATAGAAATATATAGTACATATGGAAGCAGAGATATGGAAGAGCATATAAGAGCAAGAACTATTTTAATTAACATAAACAAAGCATAACAAATACAATAACAATATGACACTTTAAGAGTGCAGAGAAATAAAACAAAAATTTATAATGAAGAAAAGAAAACACCTCAAGAAACACAAAGTAAGGAATAATTTCAAATTTATACACACCTAAATATTTTAAAATGTTGAATAAAAGGCGATTCTATAATTTTGAAAAACATCTGTTACTTTTTTATTTAGTTTTATTTCAATTTGCCCAATCAATGTAGTCCCCGCCCAGGTGCTAAATAGACTAGACTAGACTAGACTGCAGGGAATTTCTTATGACCGATTGACAATTGGCATTGGGGTAAGATTTCTTTAACAATTTGCATATTAAGGCAATAGCATTATATTTATTAACCTAAATAAAGTCACAGAAAGTGTTCAATAAGTCAACAGGTTAGCAGTGAATCAAGTTTCCTCGAGTTTTATTATAAATTAGTTTGCATACAATATTTATGAAAAACAACAACACCAAACAATTCAAGGAGTAAACTTTAATAGCTTACACATTTCAAAGAAATATATATTTTAAATAAATTTAAATATCAACATTATAAGCTTTACCAGCGGAAGAAAATAAGTATTTGAAAGGCTAACATTGGCGTGGGAATTATCAAAAATAACTGAGGGAAAAGTAAATAAAAATGCTAAGCTTTAAGGTAAATCTAAAATGAAATATCTATACAAAATATATGAAAAGAAAAAAATTAATAATTTATAATAAAGAGAACACAACGGAACGGAAGCAGCATTGATATGAAGATAATATACATACGACTTAAGTATAAATGCATATATATATATACATATAGTATATAGTATATATAGACTATATGAATATCTGATAAATGAGAAATGGCAAAAACTGATATAATTATACCTAAGTAACATAAAGTAAAACAAAATATAAAGAGAAAGAAATGAAACTAATAAAGAGAATTATTCTGAAAAATCCAAACTACTGAAAAATATTTGAAATTTTATAAAAAAAAAAATTATGCCCGCGACTTCTTCTAGGTACCGCATTTAAGTGACCAACCTAATCTAGACAAGAAAACTTTTCATCTGTTTATATAAATTTGTTTTGATTGTAAAAATAATGAATACTACCTTTGTATAGTGGCATTAATCAAATCCGTCTAACACCATCCAGACTTAGATATTCTAAAACGAATCAGTTAATGCTGAGTGGTGTTCTTTGAGGGTCAGCAGATTGTGGAGCTCTTTCTGAGTTGAATGTCCAGCGGGAAAGATTTTCAATCTTGCGATAATAAATCCTGTTAAAGAGTTGTCTGTTTCGGCTACACCTCTCCATTTTAATCATATCTTGCTGGAATTCACGGCCCATTGTGGCTGGTGTAACTTGCATAACTTGAAACATTAAAATTGAAGTTTATATCTGTCTCTTCAGTAAGATTTAGTTTGATTATAGTAAAAACGAAGATTCCGCTTAAATATTGGCTGCCCAAGAAACCCTGTTTTAAAATGCCGTTTTTACAAATACAGAAGTTAAAAGCCGGCCTCAAAATCTGCCAACTTGTCAATTGCAGATATCAGTCTGACCTCTTCTTCCGACACAATGATGTGCCATTAAAACTTTGCCTTTGTAGCAATTTTTTTCTCAACTGATTGATATTTTCGCATTAGGATGAGGTCAATGCTTGTTTTATGAAGGACGTCCTGCTTCCAGCCAAGTCTTCAACTATATGCTTCGCCTTTGACACTATTTTTTCAGTTAACTCACATGATGTTCAAGCCTACGATGTCGGTTATATTCCACACAAGAACCTTTTATTATATTTTATTATATACAATATATTTGAGAGGCTTTCCTGTGGGTTTTTATACCATGAACTCATTAAAATGGTTTAAAAGGGTATAATGGTTTTAAGCAAATTTATGTAACAGGCAGAAGGCGCGGTAAGTGAACGCAAAGATTTTATTATTTCAAACGTGGTACAAGCTATTGTAGTTTAGGCATAAGAGTCCAAAAGACATATAGTTTTCCTTACATTTTTCCCCAACAGCGATGAATGAATAACGCGTATTAAGATTTATTAAAGATATGGGATAGAATGTTCATTTTCATTGGTTTTGATTTTTTAACAGAGCGTATCACCAGTATCACAAAATCTGTCTTTACAAGAAGAAAATAGTGTTAAGTTTAAAATGACATCCATGATAATACATGTGTAAATTATCCACGTCGTTGACAGTGGATAAGTCAAAAGTGACCGTAGATTTCTAGAAATTTGTAAAAATATAGCTTGCATCAATCAACAAGAGCTCTTCATAATTGCACAACATATGCGAACCGCAGTTAATGGACGGATTTGAAAAGACCCATGTATATGTACTATCTATTTTTACAGCACTTGTCTCGGCGATTGCATATGCGCAGTTGTCTATCCGTAAAGCGCGAGAACTGTGCTCCATATACAAGTTACCAGCGTCGGAGAACTCCGCACAGACGATCAGTTGCCTATGCGCAGTCAAAGTGAGTGCACGCGCAGCAGCATACCCAAGTGTGACCTCGATG